CAAAAGGAGCAAGCAAATGCCAAAGGCAGAAAGAACGAACATGAACTCAAAGTGGGAGATTTGGTATTAATAAATGCTAGGAATTTACCGCACGCTGTGTATGCGTTATATAAAACCAAACTACGTCCACGCTTTATTGGACCTTTCAAAGTCATAAGCAATGAAGGCTTAGCCAATACGCTGAATCTTTCGAAGAAGATTCGCACACACCCTGTGTTCTCTGTGGGCTTACTAAAGACCATATCTCAACCATGCCTCGGTGGACTTCGAAGGGTTGTCCCCATGCCCCCGGCCAAAGGAGGTGGGTAGAATAGCACCGGAGGTGCATATGGACGCTGAAGGCGTACCAAAAGATCATGTATCGATGGGTAAACGACCGTCGCCAACGCTGACTGATGAGCTGGGTCATTAACAGTTTCACGTCGAGCGTCTATTGGCGCGACGTCTTCACCAAGGCTACATACAGTATCTGATAATGTGGAGGGGGTACCCTCAGTCGTATGACTCGTGGGAGTACGAGGTACCTCTACGGCAAGACTGCTCGGACGTCATCAAAGCTTTTGATCATAAAGATCAGAAACGGCGACAGCAGTCGCCGGATGATTGCTAGCACGAAGTGCTGTGGAAGCAAAGTCAGTAGTTAGGCTTCACCTCTGACCTTCTTGGGAAGCAGTTGCCGGTACCCCACTCGCGTGAGAAGTAATATTATCTGCCTCAAAAGCAAGAATTACGGCGTTTATGGCTTTGTCTATATAACACGCAAAACGTATAGACTTTGGGAGCTCGGAGAGCAAGTAGTTATAGCACTTTATGGCTCAATGAGCATGTGCTGGGCACTTCGGCGCACTTAAGAAAGTGTGAGAATCATTATGAAGCTTTAAAAGCAAGTGTAAATCATAATCAAGCTTTATAAGCAAAATTACAGCACTTTAAGGCTTTATATAAGCAAGTGGTAAATAATGTTGTGCTTTTTAAGCAGAAGTAACACTGTGGGGCTTTATATAAGCAAGTGTGAAGCACTAAGAAGCTTTATCAGAAGTTTACAATACTCTGGGATTATACAATCAAGTGTTTAGCTCTTAAAGGCTTTGTAAAAGCAAGTGTTCAACACTAAGGTGCGTTATAAGCACGTGTTAAGAAATTAGTTGCTTTATAAGCAAGTGTTAAACAGTTAGGTGCTATATAAGCGAGTGTTAGACACTACGGTGCTTATACGCTAGTGTTTGACACTAGTGTGCATTATAAGCTAATGTTTATACTACGGTGCTTTGTGAACAAGTTTTACACACTTATATACTTAATTGCTCATAAGCAAAGGTTTAGAACACTGGAATGCTATAAAGGCAAGTGCCAGTCACTTACTGCTGTATAAGCAAGTGTTCGCAAACACTTATGGGTATTAATAATATCAAATGCTAAACTCTTAACGCTTATAATCAAGTGTGGTAACACTAAATGCTTTAGCGGGAGTGCGATGCACTGTTTTCTCAAAGAGCGAGTGTCGTAACACAAGGATGCTTAGAAAGCGTGTGTGCAAAGCACTGATGCTCAAAGAGCAAGTGTTAAAAACACAGAAGCTTTAGACTCAAGTGCAAGCACTAATTGCGAGGCAAGCAAAATACAAACAATGACTCCCATCAAGTACGAATATCGTGGGTACGTCGGGTCCCACGGATTGGTGGGGGGAGGGTATAACGGAATTACACGAAGGTGTGTGTTTACATGCACCTGCCAACCGATGTGGTATGGCTGCTCTTTAGATAAACTAATCTGTGCGATGTAGCTAGGACACGACAATACAGTTAGTTAGTCACGCTATCGAAACTAAACACTTGTTCACATATTTTGCTACTGGGATGAGACAAAACACGTGCAAATGTGCTAAAAAGCTAGTATATATCGGCGCTTATAAGGTGAATGCAGATGAATTGTCAAGGGAAAGATGCGGTACTGTTTGCATGTTTGGCATCATAGCCTGCATAACAAAATTCTTTCCTTAATGCTGCTTGATGTGTCAGGTTGTTACTAGTGACAATGGACAGGGTTTAGAGCAGCTGATTGATTTGCAAGATAAGGAAAAAGGCTCACCCTTTTTTACTGACTAAAACATATTGCTGCAAGGTTATCGTATGCAAGGTTATCGTATGCAAGGTTATCGTATGCTTAAACAGGTGTCATAGACATGCTGCATACTTTTATTCACGTGACCTATTGATGAAAATGTACGCAATTGTATGGCAAATATGAAGCAATTTTTAGTGATAGTCGAATTTAAAAAGCGTCTACCCTTCGCCTACCCAAAGTGCAGCTTGGCGGGGGGGGGACATGTTCGTGCACAGGACCACCGACGCTCTGACAAAAATACCGACGCTACATATTCTCCAAGCATGTTTACAAAGAAGCTATTAACTTTTTGGATGCTGGTGGAGAAAGCGTGCTTTCCTTTGCTTCCCGACCGTTGTCATCATCGCCATTTTACTTTTTTCCTTGTGTTTCTCATAAAGAAACTCGCCGAGCTCCTTTATTCCATGTTTTTCAAGCAATACCGACGTAGTCGATACCCCTGAATGGCGAAGTTTCATGTACTTTATTTATCCTTCCATTGGATGGCACTTAAGATCTTCGACTTTGACCCTGTCAAGACCGAAAGACTCGTAAACCATGACTGGAGAACTCGTAGCAGGCAATGTAATAATCACTTGGTCTCAGTGTTCTTTTGGAGAATTTTCTTTGAATGCATTTTTTCGGTGGTGAAACAGCATTACCACCAACTGTTTGTTCTTATACAGGAGCAACTCGCGAATACAAAGTTTAGTACTGAGTAACTGACATTGGAAGCTTCCATCATTTAGCCCCAGCCTTTTAAACGGAACTACTCTTTAAATGCATCCAATAATAGCTGTTAAGTCCAATCACGTAAAAGGCTTCGCCAGGATGTATCAGTAAACTCAACCAATTCTCTTTCTTCACTTTTAGCTCGGTGCAAGATAAAAATAAATATAGCAGTATCAACCTACTCTCTTAAGCATTTTTTGCTGTGCATATTTCTCGTAAAGGAAATAGTATTTGTGATACTGGTCTCGTGGAGACGTTGGTTCTGTACATCAAGAAGTCATAAGATTGTGAAGCTAGTCTTGTGAGTCAATAGCCCTACAGACGTAGGAAGGCTAGTAAAGCTTGTCTCTTTCTGCACTCCGTGCATAAGTAAAATTGGATACGGTCGTTCTGCTACAGTGATGATGAATTCGCAAACTCGTTTACCAGAAGCCGCACTCTACATAAACTAATATGTGCGATGTAGCTAGGACACGACAATAAAAAGTTAGTTACGCTATCGAAACTAAACACTTGTTCACACATTTTGCTACTGGGATGAAACAAATTACGTGCAAAATGTGCTAAAAAGCTAGTATATATCGGCTCTTATAAGGTGGATGCAGACAAACTGTCAAGGAAAAGATGCGGTACTGTTTGCATGTTTGGCACCATAGCTGCATGACAAATTTTTTTCCTTAATGCTGCTTGATGTGTCAGGTTGTTACTAGTGACAATGGACAGGGTTTAGAGCAGCTGATTGATTTGCAAGATAAGGAAAAAGGCTCACCCTTTTTTACTGACTAAAACATATTGCTGCAAGGTTATCGTATGCAAGGTTACGTATGCAAGGTTATCGTATGCTTAAACAGGTGTCATAGACAAGCTGCATACTCTTATCCACGTAACCTATTGATGAAAATGTACGCAAACGTATGGCAAATATGAAGCAATTTTTAGTGCTAGTCAAATTCTAAAATGACTATGACTGATATGAACCTAGTGTGCCCAAGGAATAGCCACACTTAATTGGTGCGGCAGGTGTTATGTATAGTACACACCTTTGTGCAATTCCTGGACGAGCAATACATATTGGCACTTCGAGACGATTACAGTAATTATACAGATAGGTGTATATCAAGGCTTTAATTGAACTAATATAGCTTTTTATTACAACTTTGTGACCATTTTGTCCTAGCCGTACTTTTTTTGCTACGTATGGGCACCTGCTGACACTGCAAGTAGCTTATACTGTCATCAGCATAAACGTAAAATACCTCGCTACACATTCGTACCAGGAGTATCGTATCATCGACACTTGGCAGTGGTAAGCGTCCATTGCATGAACAGTATGGAGTTTATGCGGTAGAAAATGTTTTAACATATTGTGCACATGCGTTTACGTGACCAGATAAAAAAAATGCGCACCGTCGTCACATGTGAAGTATCTACTTGGTTTGTATACTATTACAAAGGAACGAACACCAAACCATTAGAAAATACAAATCTTTTTGCAAAAGAGAGAAGGCTTCGAAGCAAACATGATAACCCGAAATCGATACGCATACCACACTATCAATGTATTATCTTAAAGCTTACATTCCCGTTAGATAGAAGAAAGGTTTTGATACATGCACGTAGCATAATGTCTTGAATGACTGATTTTACGCTTGGATCAACGTAGGCAACATCACTCAAACTACCGCTGGATTTGCATCGTCGCAGAGCCTAAGACTCATGCCTTCCAATCGGTGATTTGGCAATCACTTAGGCGTATACTTTCGGCGCAAGCCACATCAACATCTGCTTTATTGTCTGCTGGCATCATTGTCCGCCAGATCACGACGCTTGCTCCTAGCACTCCCTGTGTCTTTAATGCGTGTCTTGCGTTGCAATTTGCGTCAAAAGTCTAGTAAAACGTAGTAGAAAGTGTTATCAAGCAGCCTTTGTTCTTGACGTCTTTGCAATCAAAATTCTTACAAATGGAACGACCCATGGCCCTCAAAAAATGTACACACTACATTCATTTTACTACTATGCATTATACACTAACCTACAAGGTCTTTATCTACATTCTAAGCCATCTCCAGATCCTGTTAGTCAACTTCTTCGTCTATCGACCATGCATAACGTCGTCAATGAACAGCAACACCTTCTGCTCCGCTGCATGTTATTACAGCACCGTATTACTTGTGTAAAAATCTTCCTCCGTCACTGCAAGCTTCTGACTGTTCTCCTTTCAATTGCAAGTCGGTAGTCAGAATTTTGTGCTTGAGCTCTGTCAAAGATTCAAAAAATTGGGACAACTCGAGGTTTATTTCCTCCAAAGTTTCCCGACAATGACTAGAAGGTGCAGAGGAAACATGAGTATGTGGAAGCTTATCATTAAAATCGACTGCAAGCGTCTTGGAATAGTGTTCGTCGACGCCATCGACCCAAGACACGCGATTCGAGCGGGCTGCTAATAACAGCTCACTGCGTCGTTGCTCTGAGAGCACGTGAGAAGGTACAGGTGGTATACCTGAATTCGATACGATTTCCGCGTACTGATTAGACCAGCGTGAAGCATCCGCGCGGTTTCTGGCAGGAGTTGCATTGGATTTACCACCGCCTAGACCCCAGAACATCTTGCTTGTTTGCTGAATGTGATGTACCGGTATACGAGTTCAAATTTATAATGTGCGATACCGGTACTACAGGTTTTACAGTGGTGCCCTGCATTATTACAAAAGTCCAAATACTGATGACGTCTCTCGGCAAATTTCTGATCGCGGTAGGCACGCTACTACTGGTGCATGCGGGCTATTACTCAGTGCAGTGTAAGATGTTTTCCTTTACTTGTAATGCAGCATAATTTGTATAGAAATATCCCACGCTTGACTAATACCGTGGCTTTCCTCGACAGATGAGAACTATGCGAAGTTAACTGAGACTGCGGATGCACAGATGCCTCCGATTGAGGTGAGAATTCCGTCAATTCATGCATATAATGTATCAATTATTATGTATAATGTCGGCTAAATATCTGTCTTTGGCTTGCAAAGGTGGTGGTTGAGCTTGTGGTGTCCTTCCTTATCTCACTTGTTGGCGTGCTGCTCACGTCTGGAGAAGTGCTGCCTATCCGATCCAACGACACACTGGACTCTAGGTGCGACGACATATATTAGAGCTCTGCGCCCAACATTTACCTTTGGAGACTAAAATTTATGATGTTATGGCTGTGGTGTTAATGCTGACGGTGCAGGTCGCTGGCTACTGTCATCTCCAGCCCAGACTTTCACGTGTTTAATCATCGTGGAGAAGCCCTGCTCAAGCGTACGTAGATGTTTGTAAATGTAAACATGCTTGTGCATCAGATAGAGCCATCGTCAAAGAGAATGGAAATAGTATTGCCTTGGAGCTTACACAGGACGGATACTTTTGGTAACAAGTGCTGAGGTGGCGATCTAAGTTTCTCTATGCGTTTGCTGCTTGGTGGATGCGTCATTTTTACATTTCTTGTTGCTTATGCGCATTCTTCTTGTATGAACATATTGTGAAACAAACCTTAGCTCTGCGTAGCGATCTCAGCACACAGTTGAACATAAAGCTGGGGTCATTTCTGATGATCTCATGATGTCTAGTCACTATTTGTAATGTATTTACTCGTCCATTTGGTTGCAAACTTACATAGTCGCTTCTAGCCAAAGGGCATTAGACACAGTGCGTAGCCACATATCGGGCCGATAAGAGAGTCATTGAGAAAAGCGAAGTCGACCATTACGAAGTTGCTGGCTTGCAATAATGGCTTGAGGTTCGGCAGATTGTGGCTTAATCTGTTGATTGTTACGTATTGAGGCGCTGCTGATGAATGCACTTACATGCTCATGTTTTTACAGTAGTTGTAAATCTTGTTGCGTATTGCGCAACACTCATAAGCTTCGGCTTTTATCTTGTATGTAAAGGCAAAGTACACTCGAGCAAATTCCAGAATCACGAGGAAACCACTGTAGTTAATGTTGCAAATTGTACGAAATTTGAAAAATACTGGGCACTTTAGTAACATACATTCATAGGAGCACGTTAAGTGTGTCGTGTTCAAATTCGATCGAGGTGCAGCGTTTGCGTCGAAGTCCAACTTTAAATGGATCCGGTCCGACGGAGGGTATCCTTTTTGTCAGGCGTTTGGTAAACGTATCGCGCTTATAACGCCGCGAACTTACGTCATTGATTTGCTATAGCCCCTCTCTGCCTTATCATCTAGCGAAACGGTTGGATACTTTGCAGTTTAGGCAGTGGTACAACGGTGATCCCAATATCATGCAAATGTACCTTTGCGATACGAAACGCATCGGTTTCATGCTTAAAGATGACATTTACATAGATATGGTCATCGTAGAATATCAGTCAAATGAATTTTGAGGTTTGTCACCGCGCGTTGACATTTTTTTAGGGTTTAGGGTTTTTTGTAAGTGTCAGTCGTCTTGCTAATGTCAGAGCACATCGATGCCAATGAGAAAAAACGGACAAATGTCAAATTCTAGCTGTTTGTGCAGGAGTCCCTGCAGAAGCTAGCAACTGATCCAAGCTGAGATCGCAGCGATGTAGCAAATTGCGCTCATGACTGCTTCTCAAACGAGCGCAAGTACCTGTATTGTTGGTGCGTTGTTTGGACGACCAAAACATGGACGTGTATGTGGCATCAGGTTGCAACATGATGACATTCGTCAGGGCGGTCAGACGCCATGTCAACTTGGTACGAAGATTTTTTTTACCTCCGAGCTGTACCGTCTACTTGGCGTGGAACGGACTATAAATCAAGCTCAAGTATGGGCTTCTGTTGAACATGCAGTACGCAAGCTTTGGTATAAAATTGCAACAGGAAAGCGTCCGACATGGGACACGCGACGCCAATGTCAGCCGGAGGTCATGCTTGATATGATCAAAAGTCCGATATTGCATGTTCCACGAACATGCTCAACGTGATTCGTTTGACGTGACGGGATTGGCAACATGAGTTTTCATCGTGTTAGAGCTTACGTGCGCCGTTAGGTACTTCATAATGTCGTCGACGTGGCTTCAGAATTTCGCTTGCAGGCAAATCTCTTGCGTTGATCTACTGTTTTGGTCCGAGAGATGCACGAAGCAGCACGAGCGTGTCAGCCATCCCCAGGCTTCGAAAATTTACTGCACCCACTTACGTAGCGCTGTCAGCGGGCCTCTGTCATGAGTATGTCTCAGAAGTAGGGCTGATTTTACAAAGATCTTTCATTTCTAGATTGTCGACGTGTGAAACATTTCTATCTTCTGCAGATAAACAACTGAAATGGCTACCGAGAAGACCCCGCTACGTGGCGAGCAGTACGCCTCTGACGCTCAGAAGCGCAAGCGTATCGTCGGTATCACAGGCGCCGTCGTGGTGCTCGCAGCTATCATCGTCGTGCTATGGCTCACGCTTAGCGGCCACAGCTCCAAATCGACCGAGGTGACAGGGCCAACGACCCCCAAGCCAGCTCCCGCTTTAAGGCCAGAGGCTCCTGCAAACGCAGTGCCTGCTAAACATGAGGCCCCTACTCACCCCGCTGCTGAGCCTGCTATCCCTGTCCCGGCGCATTCCCAACCTCCCCAACCTCCCCATGCTATCCCTGTCCCGGCGGCCGTCCCTCAGCCTCCCCATGCCCAGCCTACTACTGCCCACGCTACCCCCTAAAGACCAGTCATCCAGTAATCCGAGGAAGCTTATAGCTGTAGGTGGGTAATAAAACCTTGATAAAGTTGGAATTACACTGCCCAGCTTCTTATAATACCATTATGCTTGTCTCTTGATATTCAAAGCTCTACATGTCTTGGGCCGATGCCGGTTTACCTGCATACGATGACACACTGGAAGCCATAGCTAGTTGGTCGTGCAGCTTGTTGTCGTTTGTGCGTCGCATCCGTCTGGCGAACACATTCAAGCTAAAGGATGATCACTCATGTCAAGTCTTTGAATTGTTTGATGATTTGTACACGGTGCAACTCGCACCATATGATGGTCACTACGGTACAACCATCGGCATGGACAAGCAACCTGAGCATTTAATAAGATTATGCACACCAAAAACATTGGGTTGGCTCCACAGGTGGTAGATCGGATCAATCCGACGTCAGCTTTCTTAGCACCATTTCTGACTCGAAAACAAGGATAGCGATCTAATGAGGATTCAAGAGTTGTTGTATGATTGGCGTGAGAGCAATTTATGGAAAAGATGTGGTGTTTTATTGTGTTAGCATTGGTGGCAATGGAAAGCAATCAATACTATAAGAAAGTATAAAGAAGCACAAAGTCATAGATCGACACTTCATTAATGCAGAATTAATTTTGTTCGTTTATTATAAACCATTGAAATGTGTTATCCTCGTTTTTGTATTTTTAAATCCGATTACATAGTCAGTCGTCTTCAGGCTGCACCTACAAAGTGAGATAATTAATGGATTCGTCTCCCCTTGACTATGTATAAAACCCCCAAAAAGTGCCAAATCAATCCACCTACATCATCTGATTTCCAACAACTGATTTTAGGCATTTCTCAAGATATCGTTCCAAAAAGATGAGGCATCAATCTGAGCTGACTCCACTTGTGGCGAATGGCTCCCCGTCGCTTCGTTCTTTCACGTTACGTAGTATTACAAGTCGCTCTCTGCTAATAGCGGCTTCTGGTGTCGCCATCGTACTCACGTTTGTGTTCATGTTGCGCGAGAACTCATCGTTTTCAAGTTCTACAAACCTGAAAGGCGTCACTAGCAAGTTTGACAAGTTTTTCTGTGGGTTAACGAGCCATGAAACAGGGTATATCAAGCTACCAAATAAGGATGATGACCATTATTTTTATTGGTATGTGGAATCGCAGAGCGAACCGCAGAAAGACCCTCTAGTCCTCTGGCTTACAGGGGGGCCGGGTTGTTCCAGTATGATGGCGCTATTGGCTGAAAATGGTCCGTGTCATGTGCAGCCAGATTTGTCCACCAAGGCTAATCCATACTCTTGGAATGGCCAGGCCAATGTGATTTGGCTGGACCAACCGACAGGAGTGGGGTTTTCTTACGGCCCGACGGTGGACTACGATTCGGGCGAGTTAAATGTGGCTGAGAATATTTACTGGTTCTTACAGGAATTTTTCCAAAAGCACCCAGAGTTAAGTGGTCGAGATTTTTTTGTGACAGGTGAAAGCTACGGTGGACATTATGTACCTGCTAGTGCGAGCTACATTTTGAAGGCCAACATGCTTCGACACTTGAATCTGGACGCAGTTTACATCAATTTGGCAGGTATCGCAGTGGGCAACGGACTGACAGACCCGGCGGTGCAATTTCAGCACAGTGTCGACATGGCTTTTAACTCGTACAATGTATCGCTCTTGAATGACAAGGCGATCGAAGACATGCGTAAAGCGCAGCCAGTGTGTCGCGAGCTCATTTTGAAGTGCCAGAAGAACCAGACAATTTGCGCTGATGCGATGGAATTTTGTTTTGGAACGCAGGAAGGACCGTATTACCAGTCGGGGCGAAACCCATACGATATTCGGCAGTTGTGTGCTGAAGATAATGTGATGAACTGCTTCCACTTCGAGCACATTGTCGAGTACTTGAACTTACCTGTCACTTTAAAAGAGCTAGGCGTCGACGTGCACAAATCCAAGCCATGGCGCGAGTGCGATGCGACGGTGGCTGCAGGGTTTGCTTTGGACGAGATGCTATCCTCGACCGAGGATGTCAAACTTCTCCTGGATGCAGGTGTGAGGGTGTTGATTTACGCTGGTGATGCTGACCTCATGTGCAATTGGGTGGGCAACCAGGCGTGGGTAATGGCGCTGGACTGGAGCGGAAAAGAGGGCTTTAGAAACGCGCCAAACCGTCCACTCGTTACATCTGTGGTCCAAGATGCAGGGCGTGTTCGTACATTCGAGAACTTGGCCTTCATCCGTGTGTTCAACTCTGGCCACATGGTGCCGATGGATCAACCTGCTGTCGCGTTTGAGATGATAAATAAGCTTTTTCACGATCAAGATCTTTGAACTTGATAAAGCTGAGCAAGAAGTGTGAAATGCAACTACTCTTGGTTTAACTTTAAGAGCTCGTAAAAATGTCATTGTAGGATACTTGCCTCCGTGTATCAAGCAACAAGTTTCTTCTTGCCAAACCGACTGACGATGTGGCTTGTAAGCAATATGCACTCGCCCTGCGTGAGACTACTGACGTCTGAGAATATCTCTCACGATGTTGTTATCTGCTGTCCGCTGTTGCTCTAGTTGCCTGCCATTGACTGGGCACTTGGCTGATAACAAAAACTTTTGGATTTTGCAAGAAATGTAAGATTTTATTTGGACATCGCATTATGTATTAGCGTTTGAGGGGGGCTTGCTTGCGCATAGTTTGATGTTAAGACTGGCTGCAATTATTTTGTTGGGAGTGAACATCTTTACGTCTGCTCTCGCTTTCGAAATCTTTCGCCTAAGTTAAACCCTGATTTGATAGGTTGCCGTAATACTGTCAGGCATGTTTGGAACGAAGTAATAAGAGCACGCACAAATTATTGTAAGACCAACAAAGTAATAAATGTATTCCTCATTCCTCAATCTTCTCTATCACTGATCTTAATCGGATATGGCATATATGTGCAGAAAACGCAAACACCTCTTCAACGACAATATAGCAATCATTCTGTATAAATAATATTTGACGGACGTTGTTGTAGTGATATTGTATATGCGTCGAGCGGTATTGTCTGGATAGTTACTGCATTCAGTAGGAGCGCAGGTACTCTACGCTTCTTGTCGGTTTAAGTATTGGTCATGTTGGCGAAAGCAACTTACTATCCATGTCGAGTGGCTTTGTGATCATTAAAAACTACCATACGCATGTTAACATGTTAACACGGTGTCACCAATACTACGCCTCCCATGAAAGGATACACAGAAAGAGATCATGTCAAAAGATAGTGTAGACGTAGATGGCGGCCGAAGCAACGGTCTGATGTCAATTCTGGCTTTGGAGGTCAGCGATCCGGGTCTGATGCGTCGGATTACTTGAGTCAAGCTTTTTCTGTGTAGCACCTCGTTTATAGCTTTAAACACGTTTTATAGGATCCTCTTAGCTCTGACTTGAGCTCGTGCAACTCGCTTTGTCAGCTACCAAATTGTTTGTGCGTTTTCTTCATGGTAACGTATGCTTCCTTTCCTCTTTCCGCTGTTGTCATCGTAAAGGATGCTTCATTTTGATGTTCTCGTACACTCTGGGCAGCATACTTACATGCTTCTTGCCTTGCCTCGCTCGGATTTTGATTCCAACGTGCTGAGTTACCATGTCAAACGTCGCTCTATCAGCAATCTTGATAGCAAGTTTCAAAAAACTGCAGCCGCTTTTTCAAACTCTTGCTCATCTTTGCTAGAGTCCTTGTGATCAAAAGACTCATCTATTTTCAAGATCATCCAGCGGCCATCTTCAACAAGAATTGCCAAGCAATCCTGTAATCTAATCCATCTACTACCTGCAGCGGCAAATGATTGCAGCATTCTTGTCACTGTGGCACTTTTGTTTCCTAGGACATTAAGAAGTGAGTCACCAATAATGCTTTAGTCAAAAGCTTGCAACACCGTCGTGATAATTAGAGTTAATACTTAAGTTCCCTCTTAACTACCAAGAAATTTGCAATGCTTTACTAAAGAACTTTGCTCGTTCAGTGTCTTTATCGTCCACCAAAAGCTATCAGAATTCGTGGCATAACTACAATCCAATTAGACTAAACAAGTTTGTATCAGTCGGCGCTTCAATGTCAAGATGCGTACCATCTCATTAGTCGAAAATGTGTGAATTGCAGCAAATTAAAAATTAGTGTGGAACACTACATAAAACCGGTAAGCTGACTTGAGTCTAAATTTAGGATAATCGAATTTGGACAGTCAGCTACGGTTTACCCTATTTTACGTAGGCGTAAACCGTACCTAAGGTACAATGGGTTCATATCGTGACAGGAGCCACGTACTAAGGTAAGCATTGCAGTTTATATAGTAGGAAGGCTAAAAAGCCAGTTTCATCTTGATCCAGAAATTTGCGACCGCGAAGTAAAACAAGAACATATTCTATTTGAATGTAACTAACGCGAAATAAGCAACGTGGTTTAGGTATGAAAGGAAAAATATTTTTGGTACGGTTATTATATACTGACCGTATCCTAGCAGACAGATTGGCACGATTTAAGGATTAAGTGTTTGCAATGGAGTCTGCTTCTGAGACACGAGTTCGACTAAGTCTTTCGGGCAGAGGAATAGGCACATAATGTAGAGAACGTCTTGCGGAGACGCTATCGATGTTCTGACGTCGTTTGGTCAGGGCTCACATCAAACCATCCAATCCAACTTCAATCGGACGTAGCAACAACAAAAAGGAACAAGGCAGGTGCAAGACGGATCAGTGTCAGACGATTGAACAGGTCATGTGGTCAGATAGTCAGCACCGGAATGGTTTAGACATATGTTTATCGCAAGGTAGATCGCAGAGACTCATAATAGTCAACCAACAAGTAACGCAGGTTGCATACAGATTGCCGCGCGATCAAAGACCGATCTCTCGTCTAGTCAAGATCTATATTGTCATAAGTCAATATAGATCTTGACTAGACGAGAGACACCAACCGATCAGCCGACGAGTACACAAGGTAAGGAAGAGAATTGACGACAGAGATCGAAATTATTCCTTCATAAGTCGTCAATCTGGGCCTCTTGAGTGTCGAGTCGCTACCTTTAATGAGTTTTGGATCGCCTCTCCTCTCCACCTTTTGAACATATTGGCCTATAGTGTCGACGATGTAATGTTTTTGTGCGTCTTTGCGGCAAACCTATATGTTGGTCAAAGTTCCGTAGTACTCGACTATACTGTTTGTCAAGGCCTTCTCACTTGTCCACCAGCTCGTCCGAGATGAACGTCAAGTAGACGCATAATTTAGCTTTATTATAACTTACCACTAACAGTATAATGACATGTATTGACACCATAGTTGCTCTTCGCCGGCTTCCGCTCATGTGTCATTCATTTTGTTCCCTTATTAAACGATTGTCTTTTCCCGTGTCTTCCTTTTTGATGCGTTTCCTCTGCCTCGCCCAGACGTTTCCGACCTCTCTCATTCCACGCGATTTAAAACTTTCCCTGTTGTGCCTACGTTGGGAGACCTTTTTGACCCCGCTCTAAGCTACCGGAATCAATATGGTCGTCCACCGCGCCACATGCCAACAGACAACGTTCTTTGCTGATATTAAATATAATACGCGCCTATTACAGTCCTGCCATAGAGAGTAGGCTTCTTGCGCTTCAGATGGCTAAGCACTTTCGCGTTGTCACGCACAATTAGTCGCTCTGTTCATCTCCGCGCCGCGCATCGCCGGCATATATGGCGGCATCAAAGATATCCTGCACGTCATCAATCGTGAGACACATTCGCCGACCTGAACCCAGGCGCTGGACTCGCACAAGACCTTTTTCGATCCGCGAGCACGGTATTTCGCATCACCTAAACAATTTGTGACCTCCACATGGGCGGTACGTCGGGGGCAAAAACGAGTTGTATAGCCGTATGGCGCCTTTGAGCTTTACTACTACGTCGGCCTCACCTGTTTTTCGTCTGATTAGAGTGACGATGCCACCTACGACCGTTTTGCAGGCATAGGCCTCCTGTCCATTGTTAACCCGACCCACCACGTGGGTTTGGTCATGTTTAGATACCGCACAGTGGAATTTCCTCCTGCACAACGTACCTGTGGCGTTGATACTGCCCGATGGTCAGCCAGTACAGAAATACGTTTTTCTTGAATTTGATGCGTTCGCCACCGTGCAGATTTAGAAAATATCTTTATACATATCAAGGTGATTCTGCTTCTCATTGCCGCTCAAATTGCGGCGAGGCGCCACCCCATCTCAACCCGGTACGTCGCGCCGGATGTCTTGAGCGGTCGTGGCCACGTCCACTCCCTCGCCGTTGCCACATCGCTACTCCATTTGACAGACGCTGATGCTTGAAACCACCGGCAATGCGGAAAGAATTGCAGGTCAATTTTCAGGTCGCAAAACACTATGTTGTTCTCCCGCCTTCTGGCCTCGAAGGCGGCAAGAATCACTTTCGCGTTGACTGACGATCTACAATTGTTTGGTTTCCGGTGATACCAGTGTGGTGGGGTGGGTTCTTAAAACTGCGTAATGAGACCCCAAGCCACTCAACTTGCCGGACTGCCGACTGTCGGAGGAGGTACCCGATGCCGCGTATAGACCTTCTCTCACCTTGTGTACCCGTCGGCTGGCGGGTTGCACCTTTCGGAGGACTTGGTTGAGATGCAATGTTGGCCTTAAAAGAGGTCGATCTTGGGATGCCTGGAGTGGATATGATTCACTCGGTAGGCGGATAGGTGGCCACTGGGTCGACTAGGTCGAGAGTGGACTTATAATCATAATTTTCAGGGGAGATGCTCAACCCTGGCCTTTTCCTTCCTTGATGTCTCATGGGTGATAACCGCCTGGCCTTTACTTGCTCCCGGACCACTAGGGTAGGGAGACCGCTTCCGATAGCGTGGTCGATTGGGGGGTGCTACTCAGACGAAACCACAAGCCAAATATATCCTGGGGCTCTATTCACACTTGAATCTTACCACACAACTATCTTTGACGGGGGGCCAAAATGTATATCTTCCCGGAACAGGTGGGTAGACTTATGTAAGTTTCTTGTGAGCACGACGGAGGCGTGCTACGTAGATCGCGACTTGAGTAGTATTTAATATAGTCCTATCTCTTGACTTTGTTACTCTATCCTTAGGTGACTGACCTAATTGGCTAGGGTATCTGGACCTCTGGATCAGGGACCGGGACCGATAGTTTATTGACCGAAGGACCAAGGTCTATCGACGAAGGACCGAGGTCTATCGACGAAGGACCAAGGTCTATCGACGAAGGACTAAGGTCGACCTCCATGGACCGGGGTCGAGGGTACACCGACGAAGGACCGAGGTCTACCTTGAGGGACCAAGGTACAGCTACGTCCTTGGACTTCCAATTTTTTATACGCTTCACCACACTCAAGTTGGATTATGCTACGAAAGGGTTGATCAAGCCAAGTTTGTGAAGTCACATGACATGCTAGCTGAACTGATGACGAAGGCATTGCCAGCTTCACGGGTGCTTGAACAGCGTTTGAATTGGGACTAAAGTAAGGTAAGTTATACTGTGGTCTGGCTTGCCCATCTTTTTGGTAAGGAGTGTTGAAGATTGGCGTGAACAGTCACGTACGGGACGACTCTTGGGTGCAGTCACGTGGACAGTTATAAGAGCGGTCGACTACTTGGAACAGATGCATGTAAATCAAAGTAGCACACCAAAGAAAAAAAACAGTACACCGAGGAGAATCAAGATCGGGCGCTGGGATCAAGCAATACATATAATCTTACTCTAAGTCTCTCGTTTGCATACAGGCCATCCTCGTATTCTACATTAGAGGATGTGTGCGTGTAGTGCGTGGCAGATTTATGCGCCCACCTACAGTAGAGTTTGTCTTCCTCTGCATTTCGAGCGTAAGTTGCTTTGACACGAGCTACAAAATCTCTGTTGTTCTAGAACTGATTCGTCTGAGTATATATACTCCTACATACGAAATACAGGAGTTCAAATTGCAGTAAAAGCTTCTTTTAAATAAAGGATACCTTTTCAATGGCATTCTTTTAAGATTACGTTTTCCTATGATATAGACTACCAGCAGTGTATTCAAACGTGTGTCAGCATGCTGTATCGGCATCGATACGTCGCCTACCAGTCGTTGCGAGCCTTTTGCCACCAAGTGGCACGTCAATACTCTAGCACAACCCCTCACTTTAGCACGACTCAGGTTTTTATTACGACCCCTATATTTTACGTAAATGCTGCGCCGCACATTGGGCACGTGCATTCGGCCGTTCTGGCGGACGCGCTCTCTCGCTGGTACAAAATTAAGAAGAGCGATGTGTTGTTTACTACGGGCACAGATGAGCACGGTCTAAAGGTTCAAGAAGCTGTTGAGAAGAGTGGCTCGACAGACTATAAGGCCTTCTGTGACGAAATGTCGTCACGCTTCAACAAGGTTTTCCGGAAGGCCAATGTGGATTACTCAAGTTTTATCCGGACGACTGATGAAGATCATCATGCAGCAGTAGGCTCATTGTGGAGGACTATTTGGGACAATGGACACATTTATCTGGGTAACCACGAGTCATGGTACTGCAAGTCTGACGAGAGTTTTTTAACGGACATGCAAGTGGAAAACAAGATGGATGCGGATGGTAAAGTGGTCAAGGTGTCGAAGGAGAGTGGACATATGGTGGAGATGTTGAGTGAAGAGAACTACAAGTTTCGACTCTCGGCCTTTCAAGATCGATTGTTAAAATGGCTGGATGAAAATCCAGACGTGATTGTGCCCAAGTCGAGATACAATGAAGTGCAGGCGGCTGTCGCAGCAGGACTGCGAGACTTGTCAGTCTCACGGTTAAGCGAAAAAATCAAGTGGGCAATTAAAGTTCCAGGTAAAGAACTAACTGGGAGGTTGATTGTTATGAAGGTTATTGGATGAGTACGACGGACTGATGGTAGTTGTGAACGCGGCTCTTTGCAGATAACGACAGACACTGTGTTTACGTGTGGCTGGACGCGTTGACGAATTATCTTACAAGTGCTGGTTACCCGGGAAATATTGATCGAGCATGGCCTGCAGACTACCACATCGTGGGCAAGGATATTCTCAAATTCCACGCCATTTACTGGCCGGCATTTTTGATGGCAGCAGGGCTACCATTGCCGAAGAAAGTGGTAGCACACGCGCACTGGACCGTTGGGAATGTCAAAATGTCTAAGAGTCTTGGCAACGTAGTAGATCCGCATGCGATTCTGTCGAAGTATGGATCCGACTTCGTTCGGTTCTTTTTGCTGCGTGAGGGAGTGCTAACAAACGATGGTGATTTTAATGTTGGCACGCTCGAAGACCGGGTGAATAGCGAGCTTGCTGATACGCTTGGAAATCTGGTTTCGCGCAGCACAGGAAAATCGGTACTCTCGAACGGCATCATGCCGAAACGTCCTCAGCTCGACCGTCTGACCGCAGAAGATAAGGAACTTGTTACCAGGGGACAGACTCTTGCTGGCAAGGTCGAGAAGCTCTTTGATGCACCTGATGTACGTGCAATAATGTTTCGTTGCTGGTTGGTTAATCTATTTCGATCCCCAGCTTGCCAACATCATGTTGTGTGTCCAGTTTTCGCGCGGCTTAGAAGAAGTTGTGTTCTTCCTTCACGACGTCAATCGGTATGTTGTGGGTATTGTTTTGAATGCTGCTACTTTGAGGTACGCTAAGTATTGTATGACTATAGGTATTTCACGATAATGGAGCCATGGGTTCTTTCGAAGACCCTAAAGAACTCTGAAGACGTGACGTCAGAGAACTATAAAGCGACAAAAGCACGTCTGGACACAGTGCTGTATCTTGCTATTGATGCAGCACGCGTGAGTGGTAAGTGTTTGTACTGCTTTCGTTGTGGCGACTTACTTGCTGCTAACACTTTGGTGTTGTTTTTGCAGCGATTTTGTTACAGCCTGTCGTGCCAATTGCTGCAACAAAGATTTTAGAGTATTTAATGGTACCAGAAGACAAGCGGTCTTTGACTGAAGCAATAATGCTCTGCAATGACGATCAAGTGATGGGTGACGTGCTCAACAACGCCAACTCATTCGTAACCTTTGCCAAGATTTACAAGCAGCGTGCCCATTAGTCCGTTGTCTCCGAAGTTGCGTCCGAGATAAAAATTGTTTTTAACTGCGAGCCAATTGCATCATTTTTTGGCAAAGTGTTCGAGAAACTCTTGCTTCGAATGCGACTTGGTCTGGAGCCACTTCAAAGCTATCCTAACGCCGTGTGAAGATAGTGGGTTTGCAGAAGAAAAGAGTCGTAGAACGAGGATAGTGTGGTGGCTACGATGGTGACCCACTGCGCTCGCTTTTCTTGCCGTTGGCGATGTTGTAGTGACTTGATAAATAGACAGCCAGGACCGACAAGTGATTAAAGCAGTTTTGACGCAATCAGAATCAATCAATCTACGTGACAGAATTGAATGAAGCACTCGTATTACCGTCAAGCAAATCGACTGCATAATCAAGAAGATTAAAAGACACACAAGATATTGCAACAACTGTTGCTTTGGTCTCATTCCCTACTACGCTTAGTCTGCTTGACTAAATATCCTTCTGTTTTCATGGTCTTTGTCATCAAATACGCACCTCCTTACTTCCATGTCCGTAAACATTCCTTACTTCGTCGCTGCAAGGTAACGTTCCTCCACATTCTTCCAGTTGACCACATCCCAAATAGCATTGAGGTAGTCCGGGCGTACGTTCTTGTACTGTAAATAATAAGCGTGCTCCCATACATCAATGCCCAAGAGAGGTACGTAGCCTGTCGTGACGCACGGATCCTGATTAGGCGACGTGACGACACCCACGCGCTTGGACTCGGGCGAGTAGCCCAACCAACCCCATCCCGATCCTTGTACAGCCACTGACTTTGCAGCCATAGTCTTTTTAAAGGCGTCAAAGCTACCAAACTCATGGTCAATGGCCTTCCGCAGCTCTCCTTCGGGTTCACCACCTCCGCCTTGGCTAGTGGGTGCCAAATTGGTCCAAAAGATCGAGTGATTAATGTGACCACCACCATTAAATTTAAGGGCTGGTTGTAGACTCAGCATCTTGGCATGATCACTCTTTCCCTCGGCCTCAGCGTATTGTTCTAGGGCTGCATTGTAATTGGTCACATACGTCTGGTGGTGTTTTTGATGGTGAATTTCCATAATTTGACCAGAAATAGATGGCTCCAATGCACTAAAGTCATAGGCGAGATCTGGTAGCTTCACAGTTGCAAGAGAACGTGAACCAAATGTTCGGATGGAGGGAGAGAGACGAGAAACGAACATTCCGTTACGTAGGAGAATTCCACGATTCTTGTACGATCCAAAAGCTCAAATGATAGGCATGAAGCGAGATGAAGAGAGTGGGAGGGGCGACATCGATTAATGATAAGCTCCATGCATGTCACTATTTTAATGTACATCACACTAAAATAACATCACAACACCCTTTCAATATGTAGCCATTTATACACCATGGAAGCTCTACTTGCAAAGGCCGTGACGCTGCGTTCATTCCTACAAAGGTAAGAGCAGTACTCTATTTTATTAATTGATGTTACTATGTATATCGTAATTCATTCATTCTTCAAGTGCTGCTGAGGTCCTTCGTCTCAATGGTGACGTTACACTTGAGCAGAACCTTTCAAGTGTGACCAACGAGGACGTCTCGAATGCTTTGGACCAGACATTTCTCATCCAGTCATTCCCTGAAGGAATTGAATCATTCCCTCGATCACCATGGAACTGTAAACAATGTATTTCACATGTAGGAAGATTACAATACACGTGAATAGTAAAGATAAACTGTAGCAAAGTTGAATTAAATAGTCTCTTGATACCTTGTTGATTCTTGTACAGACGGAATTAGTGCATCATGTGATTGAGCGACTTTTGGCACGTAAACGATCAATGGACTGGAAAAATGCAAATATCTTGACACTTGGGTATCGAGAAGTAGCACCCGATGTTGCAGGTCATCGAGTCATGCAGTCGAACGGAATCATGTGCTACTACCCGAATACGCTAGTAGCTGCACTGAAAAAGCCGCTTTGGAAATCTTTGCACAAACTCACTGGAGACGACCTTATGACTCACCTGTTGCTGAATTACACGATTTTTGTACAATTGAAAGATGCCCCAGACTCGTACATGCAGGTAACTGAATCTTGTACTAAAAGGAGTCAGAGGAAATAGCGGCTAATGGCTTTTGCGTGTGCGGTTTGGATTGATGCACCAGATTGCAGGAAAAAGTCTGCGTTTGCAAACGCGGTATGCACCGAATTCTGCTCTTGACACTGCGAACCGAGACTTGTCGATTAACTGCGTGATGTATGCACGTTATTTTCGAAAAGACCGAGTGTTTGCAACCTCGCACGTTTTGGTCAAGGCGTCCAAGACAGGCGATCCAATTAGTCGAACTGAAGCATCGCGGGTACTTCGATCAATGTTTACCGATGCTGCACGGCAGAAACGTTTATCAAGGCGGTTGATTAATTTGATTCCAACGGTACAAGCTATGGTGTCAAGATTCAAAGCATGCCAAGTTGAGGAGCTCGCAAAGAATTTGACCCCACTGAACGCTGAATTCCGCAAGTTCATGGCTGATAACCCAGACATCAAACGCAAAATTGGTGAGAGAGCAGCTAAAACAGCGGCATCTCCTAAACCCATTCTTATGCCAATCGTACGCAAAGCTCTAGATGACGGCTACTTGAGCCAAGGTGAAGTTGTGACACCCAGCTCCGATCGTAAACGAAAGCGAAGAGAGGAAGCAATAGAAATGCTGTCGTGTGCATCAGCTAGTTCACCGAAACGGGGAAAAGGTGACGCCGAACGCGCTACAGAGACGTACCAAAGCACCAGAAATGGTAAAGCTCACGAACCGATCGATTTGACAAAGCTGCAACAACATAAGGACAACATCAAAAAGTTGTTGTCATTTGCAACGCCTAAAAAGAAGGTCTATCGGCTCGTTCGCAAGTTTATTGCTCGCGTTGTACCGAAAGAAATGTGGGGCAGCAGCGACACAAAGAAGAACTGGAAGTGTGTGAAGATGATGCTGCGCAAATTCATTTTTTCTCGAAAGTTTGATATCTTCTCGCTGAAAAAGGTGAGCATCTGTTTCACGAGGGTTGAACATACTATTTGTTGATAAGTTGCCTTTCGTGCAGTGTGTGGGTGAGCTTCAGATGATCCAGGTGGAATGGATGAAAGTGCAAAAGGATGCAAAGTTCTGGTATAATTCTTCGAGTTGTTGGGTCCAAATAGATTTTAGCTAACCACTGCTTATGTTCCGTGTGTTGCTTAGCCCACCAAACGAACGAGTCAAGCGCCAAAAGCTCTTTAAAGACTTGCTTTGGTGGATGATGTCATTACTGGTCTTCCCGTTATTGCAAAACTTGTTTTACATTACTGAAGCCGAGGGAATGGCAAACGAGATTGCGTACTATCAGCGCCCAGTCTGGAATGTGATCAGGTGAGCTTAGTAATAACAATATTTTTTTGCACTCCAAGAGTCTAACAAATGTCTAACCATACTGCAGCATGCTTGCTGTCGATGACTTGGAAAGAGAAATTTTGCAACCTTCTGCTAATCGAACCGCATCAAGCAACCACAAACAGCGCCTGCTACCAACTTCTCGGCTAAGGTTGTTGCCAAAAGCGAGTGGGATTCGGCCACTAATGAATCTGTCTGCATCTGCGGATCGAACAAAGGTCTCAGTAAACAGATCTATGGAATCCGTTCATCGAATACTCACGTTTGAGATGGCGCGACAACCTAAACGGCTTCTTGGAGCATCTGTTCGAAGTATTGACGAAATTTACAAACGACTGAAACCTCTATTTCGTCAGATTGCCTCCTGTCCTCATTGTACAAAGCGGCAACGTACTTCAGGAGGAGATATTCCAATGGCTTACTGCGTGACTGTAGACGTTGAGCGTTGTTTCGATACCATTCGACCGCGCAAGCTTTACCAGATGCTGAAGAAAGCAATACAAGAAGATGAATATCTCATTCGCAAGCATTGGGTTGGTCATCAAGTCACTCCGATCGCATTGTCTAATGATAGTGGCACATCACTGCTGCAGCCTTCGTTTTTCTACAAGCTAGAGCGTCCAGCGTATCCGTCTGGCGAGTTTCTGAGTTTTGACGAGCTTGTAGCGCAGTCTCCGAAGAAGAATTCGCTGTTTGTTGATGGCGTTCTTTACGACTACCTCACAAAAACCAAAGCTCTCGAGTTATTGAAAGAACATTTATCGGCGAACACCATCGAGATAGATGGTCATGAATACGTTCAGCAATGTGGTATCCCGCAAGGTTCCGTGCTTTCCACGACATTGTGTAACATTTATTATGCTCAGTTTGAGCGACGAGTACTGCGCAAGCGCTTGCCGGAAGTATGCGACTCGGTCGTTCTGCCTGTATCCTGCTGTCAACATGAGGAGCTGTTTCGCTACACTGATGACTTCATGTACATTACGACAGATCTGAAGAGAGCACGGGCTTTTTCTGAGGTGATGCACGGAGGTAACAACGAGTATGGATGTTTCGTAAATCTGTCCAAGACTCAAGCAAATTTTGAGCTTGCAACTGGGACGGGCGAGCCTGCAAAGTCTGCAACGTCTCGTAGCATATCGTGGTGTGGCATGTTGATAGATCCTAGCCAGCTTCAGATCTACGTAAACTACGAAAAGTAAGTGCTACAGTAAGTGATGGATATGAACGTTAACTTACTAACATGGTTTATCATTCGCAGACTGAGCAGCTCGTTGCTTCAAGGTTCAATTCCATTTAACGAGACAAAAGCTGCACGAGAATTTTTTGTAAACAAAGTGGTTCTGCCGATTCGTCAGCGATGGCACGCGCTGTACTTCGACCCTGAGTTGTTTTCGGAAGACACTATCCTCGTTAATCTGTTCCAAATGTTGATCGTGGCAGCACATCGATTTTCGACTCTCGTCGAGATGTTACCGTTTGTGAACCGTGACATGCATTTTTTTCACAAATGCATTCTTCAAATTCTGAAGAAAATGACCAAAGGCATTCACCACAGCCTGGAACTTGATGTAGCTGAATCCGACTCAGCGAATCCTTCGAGGTCTTACGCAGTTAAACAACACCAAGTACGTTCAAAACTTCATATTTGTGTACATATCGACGTGTCTAACTCGGTGCACACGCAGGTCTGGACAATAGGTCTCGATGTATTCCAATTCACCATCCGTGCCAAACGAGACCAAGTCGATGCAAAGCAGCGCCGATTGCAGGGGAAAGCAAATTGGAATCAACTGTTGGACACCGTACGATTCGAACAGGGAAAATACAGGCATCGAATGAAGAAGAACCCGAACATTGGGCTACGCTGCACTTACGACCTCAACTGGCTATTGCATGACGATCGCAATGCATCCGTGTTGAAGCAGTTCCTGTTACTTGATGTGGACAGCCTAGCCTATGAGCAAAAGTTATCGAGATCTTCACGATGATAAATGCGAATACTTTAGTAAACCGTCGAACTTGCCTGCGTCACAAAGCACAACTTTACACTCTTCCTTTCCGCGCAAAGACCCGACCATAAGCAAACGAGCCGAGGATTTGCCAATTGGTTTGGCTGCCACCGAAGTGAATCGCAATCCAATGTTGCGAGGAACGATACGAAAGCACCAAGTCATTCGTAAATCGTGAATGGGTGGAGCGTCGAGAAGGCAACGCTAGACCTGGCTCTGGCCGTCTGCTTTGCAAACCCAGCGAGGATTCCAATTGGCGATGGTGCAGCATCGGGGAGGAGAAGCCGTTGTTATTCCATGATGGGCAACAAGCAATAAACATTCGTCCATCAGGCACATTCCTTTCTACCCGCTACAGCTGTGGTGACACACCTCTGTGTGCAATCTGCTGCCTCAGCGAACGTGTCCAGCGTGGTGGATTCGTCTTGGACCGTGAATGGATGATTTGACTCAATACAATTGGACTCTAACGTATGTGATTGTGTTGGCAGTGGCCGCGGCCACAACGGGTATGACGCTGCTGCTTTCGTTCAAACACATTAAAGTACGTGACTCGGCCGTACAATATATTACGTATTCGGTGTGCCGCTTGTACTTGATCTACTCGCTCGTACAACTTCTACCTTACGTGGGGGTGCTAGCCAATTTCAACGGACTACGAGACAAGTTGAATGCAAATGGCGAGGGAAAAATCATGGGATCATGGGCGGTCTACTCTGGTGACAAGGAGGTCAAGGCCATAGGTTTTAGTATCACTCTGATCGGAGATTGCGCTTTGCTGTGCACAACTTTTTTCATCATGACTCTAGCTTACGAATTAAAGCGCCTAATCATCAAGTCTATGGACCGTGGACCGAAGCGTGAGCGCGCTATTATTCGTATGTACTGTATTCGCGCATACATGACGGTTGGAGTATTTGCTATCTTTGTGTTGGTTTCAGCTTTCTTGCCACCGACCAAGTCAGAGGTTGTGCAGGTGGGCGTGTTTTGGTTCGAGCTGGCGTGCATTTGGACTTCGGTGCTGTACCCGGTGTATGTGACAATATGGATATCATGTCGAAAGCGCACAAGAAATTCCGTTGGACCGGCTTCACTGCTATTGCACCAGCGCATCAAGACTTTGGTATGTGTGTACTGCGCCTTCGTGTTTCCGTCCTGCATTGTGGAAGCATCGATCCAGTTTGTAGTCGAACTACAGATGGAGTGGGTGGGTTTGACTCGGACCCTCTTTTACCTCTCTGGTGCAGGCACGGCGTTTGCAATTGGCACTAGCGCCACGTGCTGCTATCGCGCACTACTTCCTCTCATGCCATCTTATATACACGAGCATCTCGTTGAAGGTGGATTTTTCGAAGATGAACTAGGGCTACACACCCTGGACGTGATCGTGGAAGCGCCTACCCGACGACCGATCTTCGTGGTCACGGATATTGAAGGTTCTAGTCGACTTTGGGCTGCGACTTCACAGTCGATGGATGAGGCACAATCCATTCACGACGACTTGCTACGACAACAATTACCTCGCTTCCGAGGCTACGAAATTACAAGCGCAGGTGATTCTTTTCAACTAGCGTTCTATTGTGTCCGTGATGCCATTGGGTGGTGTGTTAGCGTTCAAGAGAAGTTACTGAAAGCTCCATGGCCATCCCCGCTGCTCAAATACGACAATGCAGCGCGTGTGTACGACATCTGGACACGATTGTTGTTCAACGGACTTCGGGTCCGTATGGCCATTCACGATGGCGATGAGCATTTGGTGTGCTCGAGACACCCGACGACAGGCAAGATGACGTATCTAGGTCTCAGTGAAATGATGACACGCGAGATGAGTGAAATGGGACAAGGTGGCCAGATTGTCATTAGTGAATCAGCTCTTGCAGTGTACAAGGATGAACTATTGGACATACCGTCCAAAGTTGGTCGAATTTGTGAAGACAAGTTCAAATTGAAACCGTTTCGAAAGTTTGAGCAGCCGGAATGGAAGATTACGCTTCAAATGCATGAGGTGGTATCAACTCGAATTGGAGATCGTTTTAACTCTCGAATCAACCGGTTTAGCCGATTCGTGTCGTACTTTTGGCGTGACGACGAATCGTCCATACGCCGTGCAGACAAGACATCAAGTCCAAAATCATATGTTAAAGCTTTGAATGTAAATGATTATCGTGTATAAATAAATAAATAAATAAGGGTACATGCTGTACAACCGGATACTAAACTATCTGTTAAGTGAATACTATTAAGAAATAATATATTGTATCAATAATATATTGTATCTTTTGATATGTACACGCTCTATTACAAATCCATCGATATGTTTGTTAGAGCACCCATCCCTATACGAAATCGGTCCGTTCGTCCGTCTGTCTGACTCAACAAAATGAGGTTTTGCTCTATATTTCCAACCATTACTACATCAGACAAAGCTAAAGTTATTCCGACTTGAGCGATCCCTAATTCAATCTGTTGCATCTCTTGGATAGAAAACTTTCTAGTAGTAAGACGGGAGTTTCTTGTAAATGCGACGTCGAGATAGCGACCTAGTAGGACAAGTATGTTTCCAACGTTCTTTACGTCTTAGCTATAGCTATAGTCAATGCAGTAATCGAAGTCGAAGTGGTAGTGTCGAAAGTGATTTACGTTGGTCCGAACGAGTCTCTAGCATTGCCAGTGAATTTGACGACTCGGAAGTCTTAGATATGAACGACTTGCACCTCCTGAAGCAACAAACGACAGACGATTGCGAGACTGTACGTGTCACTGTCCGATTTCGTCCTTTATTGCCTAAAGAACAGAGCAGTCAGTCCGCCTGGATTGTTCATGCTTCAACTGGAACTGTTGAGGCCTCACCACAGACTGCTAGACGTCGTGGTGTCTATGCCTTTGATGAAGTGTACGATACGGAACATTCGACTCAAAACATTTATGATGGACTTGCCAGGTTGATTGCCCGCTCGGCATTGGATGGCATTCATGGCTCCATATTTGCCTATGGACAGACGAGTAGTGGCAAGACGTACACGATGCAAGGGTCAGGACTAAAAAACAGGAGAATGATGTTGGCACAGGAGCAGAAGATTGAGACGGAGCAGGACAGAAGACCGGAAGACGATGATGGACTTATACAGTTGGCAGTAAAAGATCTGTTTGATGAGATGGCGAGACGAACGGATATCGAGTTTCTCGTCCGTGTCTCGTACTTGGAAGTGTACAATGAGACGGTCAAAGATTTATTGGCGAGTGATCCGACCACAGGCAAGAGGAGAGACTCGACCGTGCATATTCGAGAGCATCCTGTGACTGGAGTATTTACGGATAATTCGGAACGGGTAGTGACAGATGCGAGAGGAGTTTTGCAAGCTCTGCGTGATGGCGAGAAAAAGAGAGTAGTGGGAGCAACCCGCATGAATGAGCGCAGTAGTCGATCACATTCGATTTTCAGACTGGTCATCGAGTCGAAAACGCGTCTCGATATGTCCGTACCGACTGAAGATGATGCAGGTGTGGAGCGTGTACGTGTAGGTTGTCTGAACTTTGTTGACTTGGCTGGCTCTGAAAGCGCTCGAGCAGTCAGTTTGGGTGGCAAGAAACTCAAGACAGAGAGTGGGAATATCAACAGGAGCTTATTGGCGCTGTCTAGAGTTGTTGTGGCGCTCGGCAGCAGCAAGTCGCCAAACCAGCAAGATCATATCAATTTCCGTGACAGCAAACTTACACGCATTTTGCAACCGTCGCTAAGTGGTGCGGCGCGCGTGCTCTTTGTTTGCTGTGCGTCTCCTGCACCTACTTATATAGAGGATACGCGCAGTACACTTAAGTTTGCTAGCCGCGCCAAGCGAATTAAGGTGAATGCATCAGTCAATGAAGTTGTGGACCAACGTGCTCGAGCGTTGATGGAGCTAGCTCGAGAGAATCAACTATTGCGCCAGCAGCTAGAGGCTTTGGCGTCTGCAAGTCGGGATGAAATGGACGCTATGGAAGAGCATGCAGCTCGTCGTCGAATGCAAATTGTTTCGCTAGACGCTGCTGCAGCTGCTTCGGCCTGGAAATCTTCAGTGGTAACAGCACCGACTTTGAGCAGTACGGAGAAAAGTGAGATTGGCAAGCAGCCTGAAGTTACTGGTCGTGAAGGATCCAACTCTCTGACAGACTTGGAGAACGAGGGTTTAGAAATGAATCTGTCGGACGAAGAGGACAGCGATGTCGATAGTCAATTTGACTCACCAAAGGTGTTACCGCTCTTAGTAGCAAATTCAGTGTGCCCAACATGTGGAACACTGGATAACGCGTTGGCAGTTGCCAAGACGCGTGAACTGGAATCTTGTCTACGTATTAAGCACCTTGAAGAGCGTGTTGTTCGATTGCAAACATGTCACTATGGAGAAAACAGCAGCACTCATGCTGTGGTTGCAGCCAATGCACCAGCTCACGATGGATCTGATGATGAATTACACCGTGTGCTTAATGTTACTGTTACGATTGACGAAGCGGATGAAACCAAAGCGCTTGCTAATAGCGAAGATAGTCGTACGAGTACAATTACACACGGTTCAAGTCTCAGCTTAGCAAGTGCAGCACTATTGATTATCATAGTGGATACATTGAACAAACGCAGTCCAAAGGAAGCTTTAGGTATTGTGGTGACTGTATTCATGTGTATGATGATCATTTTGGCCAGTTTTGCATGGAATATTGCGACTGCAACGCATTGATTCAGTATTGGGGTGGACTGGTACTTTACTTTCATTTTATTATTAACGGGGAAAATCTCCTATTGGAATTGTTACAGATATGTATTTTTTTAGTTGATTTTATTCGATAGTAGAGGGTTCGTTAGTGTTGTAATTGGTTTTATCATATAAAAGGTTTTACTATTCCAACCCCGTCAAAAGAGTTGAAACGAATATGCTACACGTCTTTCGATGTGGCAAATGGCAGCGCCGCATCATGTCACCTTCATGCAAGTTGCAACCAGTTGCCTCTCAGTCTCGACCAATGGTGCGTATACAGGACTATTTTTCGTTCTTGTTTCCATATTCTAACCATTTGAATCCGTATTCTCCCAGTCTGTCGCGTCGAGCGAAGTATTGGAAGAGCTCGTCCCATCACCAATCGTGCAAAACATGATCGAAATGAACCCATCTTACAACATTTTGAGGAGTTGCAGTCGGTAGAAAGAGTCCCTAACATTCACGTTACCGCTGTGGTTCATCCAAATGCAGAGCTTGGACCGAATGTCCTTGTTGGACCTTATTCCGTGATTGGACCAGGTGTGTGATGATTTTGTTTGGTTTTGTTGTTATTAATGTTATTTTTCTTATTGTTATATTTAACTAATCTTATTTTTTATTGATTTGATATATATATAAAATATAGATGTCGTACTAGAAGCAAATGTTCATCTACAGAGTCACGTGGTCATTAATGGCAAGACGCGTATTAGTCACGGCACGCAGATTCACTCGTTTGCAAGTTTAGGTGGAGAACCACAAGACAGGAAACATTTGGTACTTCCACAGACGGATGAGAGAGATTGGACATTAACAATTGGCACTCATTGTGTCATTCGTGAGCACGTAACGGTTCATGGCAGTACATCGTATTCAGAATTTCCAACAACTATTGGTGACAATTCGTGGCTGTTATGTGGGGCACATGTAGCCCATGATTCACAATTGGGAAGGCGTGTTACGGTCGGAAATAATGTGTGTATTGCTGGTCATGTGTCTATTGGGGACGGAGCTATCATTGGTGGACAAGTTGGGATTAAGCAGTATGTGAGCATCGGTCCTCTAGCTATGATAGGCGGACATAGTGCAGTGGATGGTGACGTCCTGCCGTACGGCTTGGTCCTGGGCAATCGTTCAAAGCTCGCAGGGCTGAATCTCGTTGGCCTGCGTCGTGCTGGAGTGTCACGAAGCAATATTAAGCTGCTGCTGCAAGTGTACCGCTACATCTTTGGCGATTGTGGTAGCAACAAAACGGGATTTGCGCCTGCACTTGAGTGCGTTTACATTCTTATCTGGATCCAGGCTTTGATCGATATATGTGCTAATCCACATCTCTGTTCCGCGACAGTTTGACGTATAGAAAAACACTCGTTGAGCGTGCGATTGAGGCGAAGCAGTTTTTGGTAGGACAAGAGCTAGATGCTGAACGGGCGCCCATGGTTCACGAAATGGTAAGTTGCAAGACTGATGCTAGGGGACGTCTCATCCTGTCGACGTTGGTTGACTGTGTGGTCGTGTCCATTCTGTAGATGGACTTTGTCATAGCTTCCCCGCAGCGCTTCCGTTCGTCTTTGTGCCTCGCGTTTATCGCTACTTCTTCGCAATAGAATTCTCGTTGACATTGCATCTGATGTAACATTAACCGATTGAACTGTAAACCGAATTATATCATACGTGCTGACAGTAAGTTGTTTTTCAGCCTCCAAAAACAAACCCATGGTCTACGGCAGTAAAATATAGCGAGTGGTCCACCCGTAGCATCTTCCATACTAATGTTATGCACCCCAGCAAAACTCCAATCATCGCATACTCGGGTTGGTCGTTTTGAAATACTGCTGTTTCAGGAGCGCACACAAGAAGCGTAGCACCGTAAATGAAGCTAGGAAATTGTTTGTCACCGAAACACTACAGAAGTAAGTGGCACAGACAAAAGCTCCGGGAGAGGCGCTAGGGCTGAACGCTTATCGTGAGGAAAGTTTCGCCAATCGATGATGCAATGTGTAGTCGATACGCCAATGTAGTGGCTATCCATTTAACCAGCAAAAGACATTTGGGCGGTGATCACGTCCAATGTTTATAAAATGTTCCATCCAATCTCAGCTACGCTTCTTCAAAACGCTGACCTTTTGCACTGTTGTGGTATGCGCAAGCAATCATACGCGGGTGATGGTCGACATGGCTGAGACAGTGAGGTACATGGAGCTTCATTCAACACTTAAAAAGAAGCACAAAGGCAATCTTCAAGCAGGTCACGCACCGATCAAGTGCACAGCAAGTAACACCGATGGAACAAAATGGGCTCCTGCAACCAAAAAATTGCGGCAAACATATCAAATTCATACTACCCACATTTGCCACCACTCTCACGTCGACATGAAATTTTGATTCCGCTTCAGCATAAGCATATTGCACAAGTCGTGAACAGGGAAAGTGACTTGCACGAGAATTTCTTTGCTTGCCGTCAACAACGACAACTCGAGTATTACACACCAGACAGACAAGACACCTGCAGCCTTAAATGGTGGCACCGGTGTCACGGTAAAGTGACTTTGATGCTTCCTTTGTCCATCCGAAACTCTCGCTAATCGAATCAATACTCTTAGCTGAGTACCTTCTGGATTGTTTAGCCAATGACGCCATATTGAGATCAGTGCACAACCCAGCAAACTCATTTGGTCAATTTGTCCAGTGCCATTGTGATTCGTATCCCGCCAAGTAGCTTTGGTTGCTCTGTATCTGTCTTGGGCAAGAGCATTTCCATAGCACTTGGAAAATGCAAGTAAGGAAGGCTAGTGGTTCCCAAAATATTGACTAAGCGATGGTAGTCATTTTGACTCAGCGAAGTTAGTGCCTTGGTTCACGCAAATCTACAGATGAGAGCACAAGGTGACTGTCGATTTTATAATTTTACTCAAGCTGTTCATCACAAAGAAGCTGCAACAACTTTTCAGAGTCAGCGATTGTTCGTGTCAAACCAATAATTTGATTGCCATTAATCAAATACGTGTCCGTGCAAGAACACTTGACTGAGGGGGGTTCCATGTCGACGGAAACATCGTTATTTTCCGATCTGCGGAATGTAGCATCGAACTCTACTGTCACCGAGAACCCAATCGCTTCAATGTTTTTCTCTTCAACGAGAACAACATCCAGGCACTGATTCAATAATGATGCGTATTTACTTATGCCCTGGTCACCGTGGTATGTTCCCCAGAAAGGCACCTCCTCAGGCACCACCGATTTTAACAAGAAACTGGCAGACGTCATTGGCCCCAGCAAGTTGACATCTGGTACGACCAAATACGGTCCATCACAGTTCTTTGCTACACACTCGACCAGCCTTAAATTAAAAGCTTCATTGATGTCATTAGAGCCGTTACGCGACGTCCATGTCCTTGTGACAGCGGACTGCATAACCTCAACCCACCTCGTTCTTGAAACATCTGATCCTGTCACGAAAGTCAGCGTTTCATCTTCTTCTCGGTGACTATCGAATACCTCGATCTGAAAACCAAAAGCACCGCGGTTCCGTTTCTTTATGCCTCGGCGAAAAACAATCCATCTTCGGGCATTGCATACCACAAAACGTTTGGGCCGTGATGTCCATGCCTGCTTGTGTGCCATCAGCAGTTGTTGAAAACGCGACACCTTCGTTTGGGAAGTTGATTTCGATGCCCCGCTGCTCGGTGGTTGAGATAGTTCGACTGAGACATGCTGCAAAGTCAGTTGGCAAGTGGCCTTGTCAAACCTTAGATACACTTTCGCCCACCTAGAGTGCTTCTGGTAAGCATACCCGCTGACAAAGCAATCATCTTCTTCAACATCAGATGATGTCGATGCATCTGACTGCAAAATATCAATAATGGGTTTGGGAAATTTGCTTTGTAACCGGCTCTGGAACATATCGCTGGGATGCACCGCCTCATTTCCGCGAGCCAAATTTTGTGACGATCCAAAACCTTCTTTCTCCATTGGAAGTCGTCGAAATGGATCCAACTCGCGTGATAGATACTCACTCGCAGAGGAAGACGGCCGAGCAAGTAGGAAGCCTCTGTCTGCGTTATCTTCATTCGTCTTTCGTTTGCTTGCGCCTCCACTCGGGGCCCCACTGGCCGAAACTTGCAAACCAAGTAGTGAATCGTTCAACACGTCCATCTGCTCGTAATGAGTAGCGACGAGCGATGAGGCAAAATCGTTCCAGCCTTTCACATTGTTACAGAACTGACGAATAAGTTCCTGCTGAAGCGTAGCCGAGCTGCAAATCGTTGCAATCTTTACTCCAATGATGGCCAAATGAGCATCATACACGTGAGCCGAAGTGTTCGTGTCGAGCTTGCTTATGATAAACTCTAAAATCGAATCAGGTGAGCGGAAAATACTTCGCAAAAGCGGATTGTTCACGCGCCCGTTTGAAGAAGGTCGGTTCAACAGATTCAAGTACAGCTTTACTAGTCGACAATGCAGTATGCTGGCTGTAGGAAACTTTTCAAAAATCTGCATCAGTGACGTTGCGATATCTAGCCGAGTCAAACGGCTGTCGATGCGATCGTTTGACATTAGTATAACTACATCCAGCAACTCCACCACGTGCATAACAAGCAAAGTTGATGCTAGCGGTCGATAGTTTACAATAGTCTTGCCGGAGCTGGGCGAACAGCTGATTGCTGGAAGCGTTATTCCCATGAACAAGGTACTTTGAGCAGGTGGAGCATTACGTTTCAAAGGCATACTCGAATCATCTTTTTCGCTGGAATGAGAATGCAATGCAAAGTCTCCATCCTCGGTTTCACCATCATCGGAGTCACTGTCACTAAAACAGCCGCGCGCAGCAAATTCTAATATAGTAGACAGGTGCTGGTGGTAGTTGATTGACGCACAAATTGTGCCCAAAACGAGATGAATTGGAGCAACAAAGGCTTCTAACGGCTCTGAAGTGTGCATGGAGAACTCAACTGCATGACGCAAAACGTCGATGACAAGAATACTGGGAATACATGCTTCGTTTATGTGGTGGGCGTCCAAATATCGTAGCTCTGCCATCCCAAGTTCAGCCAATCGAGCAAGTACGGTCGAGTCTTCCACCAAAGCGGCTAGCACTGCATTTTTGAGTTTATGGTGCATGACAGGGTCGCTTGGAGCCACCCTTGACGGAAAAAGTTCCCGCTCGAATGGTTCAACACTCTCAAATGACGCTACCTGTATTCTTCTTTGTATGTAATACCGAAAGGTATCTGGTAACTCGTCTTCCAGAATTTTTGACAGGATCTCTGCACACCCACTTATCCTTGAATAAACTATAGATACGGTATTCGACGTGGACAAGAATGCGGGAAACGACGCCGTCTTTGATGAGAAAAATGAAAACGACGGTACTGTTGAAAAACCATCAATCGACGATCGCGGAGACGCTGACGCTGTCGACGATACCGTCGACGTCAAGGACGCAGAAGAAAGTGATCTGACTAATCGAGTCGGCACATGCTCCACAATTCGCTGGACCAGACAGCGAATTATCAAAAAAATAATCAAAACCACGACGGAATGAAAGGTGGATCAGTCCATGCAACAGCGATGCAATGTCTGGATTGTATGCATGGGCTGCTAGACGTGATATTAGCCACTCTTTTTCATCAGCTTTATCTTCGTCGCAAATAAGCCTGTGCACACCGGGAAAAACGACAAAATTTTTCGTTATCGTGCACATGTTGGCAGCTAAAACACTGTCAACTTCTACGCCGTCATCACTGTTTTCCCCTTTTTCGTCTCCATCAAATTTCAATTGTGGACAGAAACACAAAAACAGCTTTCCAAAAATTCGTTTCCACTCATTTGCTGTCAAATCATCAAACCGTAGTAAGTACCCACGCGTGCTTGGATCCTCAATCAAACCATTGCCATCACCACTAAAATCCGAAATGCTGCTTCCCGAGCTTTCAAACCTCATATTCGCTCGTAGACGTTGAATTCTTGCCATTTTTCTCGTCGATGTATTGCTTTGAAAGTCCATTAAACTGGTCGCCTTACTCGGCGATGCTTGAGTCAATGGCACTGTTTGTTCGGTACATTCAGTACGTGATTGTTTCGGTATTGCCTCTTGTTTTGTACCCTTCTGCATCGCTGTATCAACTACTTTTCCACTATCTTCCATCAAATCCGCTTTGGGTTCTCCGTACCACGCCACCACTTTAAGATAAAAGTGGAGAATTATCTCCGTTGCCACGAAAGCTTGTCGATATGTTGCTGCGTTTGGCCTATTTGGGTCTTTTTCATCATATTGTTGCCTATTTTCTTGACCATTTGGGTACATTGTACGACCCGATGTCGCATAACCAAAAACCTGCTCAACAGACTCGGGTGCTAACAACAACTTCTGCAGTGGAGTAAACTGACCCCGTTCTTCTCTCCTTTGTACAGTATGAAGCACTGTGTCCACATCATATAAGCTACAAAAGACATTGTCTAAGACTGTCGCTTGTCGTAGATTCTCAGCATTATGCAAAGCTTGAGAATTCTGTATTAATTCAGATGCAGTCTGTAAAGACAACGATTTGGACCATTTTGAAGGTGGTGGACGAGATGACCCACCACGTAACCCATTTTCACCTGCTACCTCATTACCAATTTTGTTGCATTCATTGTCACTATCATTATCCGAGTCCGACTCCGTCTCAATCACGCATGTGCATTGACAAGTGAGCTGTTGCGTTGATACTGAAGCTTCCGTCGAACTCCGTAAGAGCATCACACGCTTGGCTTAATACTATATGGAACGGAGAATGAAAAAATGGGTGGTTTTTGGCGTGTATTTGTATCGCAATGTGGCAATATGGGTACATTACCACCATCTAATTTAAATTTAGTCGTTTAGACGTTTTAAATGAAAGAAATGCTTTTTGACAGGCTGTGTCCATGACATAGCGAACCCATGTACTTTCTTTGTAACCTTGGAAAAGAATCAATTGACAACATCATGATTACGTGCTTTCGATTAATTTATATAGTATTACAAACAGTTGCTTGCTAATCAAGTTCGACTCCACGAATAACATATAGTATAGATGATAGGTACTCGCTAATGGTCAAGCCGTATTCACAGCAGTAGTCCACATCGTCGTAAGAAACTTATCAAGTATCTGATAACCCTTACTGATTCACCCATACAGTGCGAAGAGACAAGGAACTATCGTGAAGGATCATATCAACCGATATTGTTGCGTATTCAATGGGCATATGACCGCTCTTCTGCTGCTACAATTTAAATCCATATCTTGCAAAAGCGTCTCGCAGTAGTGAAGTACCATTTGTATCATGTAGACCAAATTAACCTACCACTATTTACATCTGTCCGTTATGAGTGTTTACGTTGGAATTGAAGGCGCAAAGTCCACGGCCCCAAAGCTTGTTATTGAAAATCCTGTCGGAAAAGTCTAATAGAATATCTCACGGAAGCAGAAAAAATTAAATATGGGGTCATGGTGCAAATCCCGTTGACAAACCAATTGGCATTCTTGATAGGCCATCAGGATCGCACTATTTATCCCAACATCGAGTTGAGACTCTGTAGCTGATAGTTAAGATTCGTGATAGAGTATATCTCTATCTACAAAGTGGCAAATACGACTGTATCGAGCAAGCAAGACACCTGGCGTCCTGCATCGTCACCAACCCATTTGATACGGTGACACAAGTCTATGTGGTGGAGTGGGTTCTCAAAACTGCGTAATGAGACCCCAAGCCACTCACTGTGCCGGACTGCCGACTGTCAGAGGGGGTGCCGCGTATAGACCTTCTCTCACTTTGTGCTCCATTGCGGACACCACGTCGAAGCAGCGGATTCTGTACGACCGGTCGTGTATCTGATTCGTGTTCCTGTGTCACGTCTTCGCCGTGGGCGGTGTGCTCATGTTCGTCCTCCCTTGTCGACACCATCTCTTCCGCCAGCGTCTCCATTTGAACCATCACTGTCGTTGACATCACTGGTTCTGGTCAGGTAGCCATTCTCTACAGTTAGCGATTCCTCCTCGCAACTCGTCTGGCATCATGCAACTTTCAAAGCTCTCTTGGGATGAGTTATTGCGTGGTCTGTAGAGGGAAGAGATTGAACAACTCTGTCTAGTGGTTTAAGAATCCGCGCTCAGCAACCATGAACGTCCTGATAAGATCAAGCCGAAGTGCGCATACGAAGAGTGTTTCGCGGCGCAATCCTGGGAAGAAGTTGCTCCATGAAAGAATCTTGTTCTCGCACTTGCGCTCAAGTTTGCCCATGTAATTACTGGCAATATCCCTGCGGTCCGTTCTGCGGATAGAGCGCCAAGCTATTTGATGACATCTTCGTGCATAGTCGCGCATCCGATGGCACAACAGAATTAGACGTGCACTTTGGTCACCTTCGCAAAGGCTTCAAGGCAATGCGTGATAACAAACTGTACGCAAACTTAAAAAAAGCATCTTCTGTGCCATGTGGCTGGCATCTGAACCAAGTTTAAAACTTGTCCGCCGATTTAAATTACAATATATGTTTTAATGATTTCATTTTCATTTTTAAATATGATTATATGTATAATATAATTTTTATGACACTGATAAATTATCAATTTACTTTTTTTAGACAATGATAAAAAGTCAATTTTTTTAGTTTGCACCGTGTGTAGCCGAGCTACTATAACCAAGCTACTTATGCACTATGTGCAGAGGAAGACAAGCTCAGAGAGCTTCTACGTCTTAGGGTGCTTAACCCTCCTAGGCTAGCTCGTAAGTTTGTGCCCATTGGTTGTTGTAACAGTGTCTCAAAGAGACTAGTATCAAAGATACTTAACTCCTCAGGAGGAATAGTAAACTCAAGCAGTAATGCTTATAGAGCAGGTTTGAAACTGTTTTATATGTATGTTTATCTTCTAGCACTAAATATAGAAGCACCTACTCTATACTTAGGGCTAGTCACTATTTACTGGCTCTTTAGCCTTTTATTATTATGCAAATCTGCATAGTCACTATACTTTAAACAAGTCCAGTGACCACGTGGCTCTCTGCCACGAACGTACTTCAGGTACGGTCACCTACTTTGTACCCAAGGTACAGCCACACCACATTGGTGTGGCAGGTGTTATGTACGATACACACCTTCGTGTAAGCCCGTTAACCCTCCCCACCAATCCGTGGGACCCGACGTACCCACGAATTTTCGCACTTAATTGGAGGCATCAATTTCATTTTCTTCTCATTTAGCTTGCCTCGGAGCAAGTGCTTGCACTTGCGTCTAAAGCTTCTGTGTTCTTAACACTTGCTCTTTGAGCACCCATGCATTACACACACGCTTTATGAGCATCCTGGTGTTACGACACTCGCTCTTTGAGCATGAAGTGCATCGCACTCACGCTAAAGCAAAAGTGTTACGACACTTGCTTATAAGCGATAAGTGCCACGCACTTGGTATTATTTATACCTTTTGTGTGTTCACGAACACTTGCTTTCACAGCACAAGGTGCCTAGCACTTGCTTTGAAGCATTACAGTGTTCACAACACTTGCTTTTACAAAGTACTTTCTCGATAGTGCTTGCTCCATCATGAATGAAGCAATGCGTCACGACATCTTTAAGGACGGTGGCAGTGACGTTGCCTCTAGGGGTGGCGGAGCCGAGTCACCTTCGGGTCATGGTACCCCAAGATCATCACGCTAACCGAGCGACGGACGTCAAACCCATTCTGTGTCTTCTCCTCCAAAGGAGACAACCCCATTGCGTCAAGCGCCTCCTCTTCCCTCGCTAGAGGGTACTTACGAAGAAATCACAAACCCTCTTGACGCTGCACAGCGTCGTCAACTTGATGACGAGGCCCGAGTGGCCGCTTTGAGACGGCCCAAACAAACATTTTCACGACGTGATTATTGGTTCGTGCCCCGGGACCCTAATGAGGCAGCTCGGAGATTGCGATGCAATCTTTGCGAACCTGTGTCATTGGGTCCCAGGCCCGTACCGCTTGCGAGGTTGCGGATCGTGCCGCTCCTCGTAAGCGGCTCCTTACTCCCCAGGAGTTTACGATGAAATCGTATCAGGAGCAACTGTCACGACAGTCCGTGGGGTGCCTGTGCACCCACTAAACGACATACGAGCGGTGCTTGCACCAAGTGAAACATCTGCACAAGATGATCACCAGTTCACCCGTTGGGTAGAACGAGCATGTAAGATCTCAAGTTTGTCAAACTTGCGTTTAAACTCTAAAGCGCAAGACGCTTAGTTAGAACGTCGTCTACGTTTTAACTTCGCTAAGCTCAAAGCGAAACGTCAATTACCTTCCACATACAGGTCAAAGACTTGTGAAGGACAAGCTTCTGAAGCTGTTGGCCGTACCTCTCACTCGAGTGATGTACCGACATTGGCTTCTTCTGATGGCCAGAGGCGAAGCCAGCCTACTGACCCTACTTCCACAGCACCTAGTACGAGGAAGCGTCCGACGACAGCTATCGTCGCTTCTGACCGTCCTGGTCAAAAGTGTCAACGGCGTCAGAGCAATCCTGCGGGAGGGATACCTCATACACTCACGAGTCGTACGACTGAGGGTAACCCCTCCACTTCACCAAATATGGGGTATGACCCTGGTGACGACGCCGAGCCAAGAGACGTTCCACGTGGAGCTGTTGATGACCCAGTTCATCACTCAGTGTCGGAGGAGGTCGATGACCCATTGACCTCTCATCTCTCTGAGATCGAGCGTCGCCTGACACTCCTGGAGCGTGATGCCCTTGCATCGGCGAGGTCTCACTTGTCATCGCTCGATGACAGTGTCGATCGACAACGTCGATCCGGTGAGCGTTATCCTCTAAGACCTCGGATCGCTTGGCGGTGGTTGAGCGTTCTCAAGCCAAACTGCGATGTCAGATCGACCTCCTGGTACGCCTTCAGCGTACATATGCAACCCCGGTGCAGTACTACGCGCCTCCTTTGGCCGGGGATGTGGGGACAACCCCTCGAAGTCCACCGAGGCAGGGTCGAGATATGACTTAAGTAAGCCCACGTAGAACACAGGGTGTGTTCGCATCTTCTTCGGAAGGCTCAGCGTATAGGCTAACCCTTTCTTGCCTATGACCTTGAAAGGTCCAATAAAGCGTGGACGTAATTTGGTTTTATATACTGCCGAAACGGCACGAGTAGGTAAATTCCTAGCATTTAATGAGAACTAAATCACCCACTTTGAACTCTTGATCGTTCTTCCTGCCTTTGGCATCCTTCTGAACATCCTGGCTTTCAGCCATAGCGTCTTTGACGCGACGTAATACGTCAAAACGCGTTGACATAAACGCTTCCACCTTCTTGTGCATCGCAACAGGGCTGATATCAGCCAAGCCTTCGGCTATCTCTCCCCCCACTAAGCCCCAAAGCGGCAGGGCGGAGCGTCAACGGAACGCGAGGGTTGACCAAACCATTCACATAGAATGGGGTGAAGCCTGTCGAGGCATGCACCGAGTTATTCAACGCAAACTCGATGAGAGGGTTCATCGTGCTCCATTGCTTGGGTGTTTCAGCACAAACACCCCAAATCATATCACCAATAACGCGATTGACGCGTTCTGTCTGGCCATCGGTCTGCGGATGATCCGCCGTGGACATGTCCAGTCGAGTGCCCAGCACTCTAAAGACTGACGTCCAAAACTTACCCGTAAAACGGGAGTCTCTATCCGAGACGATTGCCACAAGCAATCCGTGTTGTCGAAACACACGATCCATAAACAGCTTAGCTGTTCCTTC